AGATTTGATGATTCAGATTGTGTGGCCTACGCCTTGGCCACAGCAGAGGAATTGAATACGGATGAACCTAAATCCTATTCAGAGGCGAGAAGAAGTAAAAACTGGAAGTTATGGAACGAAGGAATGCGAGAAGAGATGGATTCTTTGGAGAAAAATCAGACTTGGGAACTGGTTGAAAAACCAGAGAATAAGAGAATTATTGGCAGCAAGTGGGTTTTCAAGTTGAAAGAAGGCATTCCTGGAGTTGAGAAGCCTAGATATAAAGCTAGGCTAGTAGCTAAAGGGTTTTCACAAGTAGAAGGAATTGACTACACGGAAGTATTTGCTCCAGTTGTGAAGCATGTGTCAATCAGAATTATGTTATCATTAGTTGCAAATTATGATCTTAATTTGGAGCAACTAGACGTGAAAACAGCTTTCTTATACGGAACATTGGAGGAGAAGATTTATATGTCACAGCCAGAAGGTTTCGTTGAGAAGGGAAAAGAAGATCAAGTTTGTCTCCTGTTAAAATCCCTTTACGGACTAAAACAGTCACCAAGACAATGGAACAGAAGGTTTGATGTATTTATGAAGAAACAAGGATTCAACCGTAGTGCATACGATCCTTGTGTGTACATGAAAGGTTCAGATTTATCTCACATGGTTTATCTCTTAATCTATGTTGATGATATGCTCATAGCATCTAAGGATTCTAAAGAAATTAATAGAATCAAAGATAGTTTGAAGAGAGAGTTTGAGATGAAGGATCTTGGAGCAGCTTCAAGGATACTCGGAATGGATATCATTAGAGACAGGGAGAAAGGAACTCTAAAGCTATCACAAGGGAAGTATCTACAGAAGGTGTTACAAACTTTTAACATGACCGAGAGCAAAGCTGTGGTTACTCCTATCGGACCACAATTTAAGCTTAAAAGTTTGACACGAGATGAAGAAGTTATGGAAGCAAGGTTTATGAATGTAATACCCTACGCATCAGCTGTTGGAAGCCTAATGTATGCGATGGTGGGATCTAGACCAGACTTATGTTTTGCAGTAGGTCTGATCAGTCGCTACATGAGCAAACCAGGAAGGCAACACTGGGAAGCAGTTAAGTGGGTGTTAAGGTATATAAAAGGAGCTCTAGGTTCAGACCTAATGTTTACTAAAGGAGATGGGTTTAAAGTTCAAGGATTCTGCGATGCAGACTATGCAACCGACCTTGATAGAAGAAGATCGGTTACAGGTTATGTTTTTCAAGTTGGAGGCAACACAATAAGCTGGAGATCAGGTCTCCAACATATTGTTGCACTATCAACGACTGAATCGGAGTATATGGCATTAGCTGAAGCTTTTAAGGAAGCATTATGGCTTAAGGGATTTGTTAGTGAATTAGGATTCAAGCAAGATGACGTAAGGGTGTTTTCAGATTCACAAAGTGCTATACATTTGGCTAAAAATGGAGGGTTCCATGAAAGAACTAAGCATATAGATACTAGACTACACTTTATGAGAGACATAATTGAAGCTGGCAACGTTACGGTTCATAAGATTCACACATCTATCAATCCTGCGGATTTCCTAACTAAGTGTGTACCTGGACAAAAGTTCGAGACATGCTTGGAGATCCTTAAAGTCTTGCCATAGTAGGCTCGGGTGGCTGCAGGTGACAATGCTGTCGAGTTGATCACCTCGCGAAAAAAGCCACAAAACAAGTATCAGTTTCGGGAAAAGAAAACTGATGATTCGACAGGAAGTTTTTTTTTATAGCTTGGGAAGATGAGTTCAGAAGATTACCTTGAGGGAATGGTGGTTGTAGACAGGAGCAGTCTATAACAGATGTCTGCAAAATTATTCAATACTAGTCAAGGATCATTTACGCAGAGGAATAAGCCTCAATAGAAGCTGGAACACTATTTTAAAAGGAAGAATCAGATAGCATACCTTGAAGAAGTACGTGTTGTTGTAGAAAGAAATTATCTGCAACAAAGACGTGAACATCAGTTCACAGGTTTAAAGCTCTTAAAGGAATTGAAGCTGCAATTCTAGTAAGTTACCTAATGGAAGAATGATGGTGAAGAGACGTCAACACCATAAGCTGAGTATTAAACATTTTAATCATTCAGCAAAGGAATCTTCCATTACAAGGAGATTAAAGACACGTATTCAGCAAAAGTCAAAACAAAAGGAGTTACCTTTGAAGTTTGACGTTTCTGGTTTTTGGTTCTAAAATGGCCGTGAGATGCACAAGAAGAAATTTGTCATCGGATAATCACGGAGATCAAAGGTTAAAGGATTCATCGAAGGAAGCTGGAAAAGAAAAAAAATGAAATCAAAGGTTAGGGTTTTGTTCATGCATCTAAGGAAAAAGATGAGTAAGAACAAAATAAGACCTGAGATTACAGTGGCGGAGGGGAAGGCGGTAGTTGCTGGAGCCGGTGAAGACAAGCGACGGTGAAAGTCGGGATCTTGTCTTGTTCACGTAGAATCGAGAGGAGGAAACGAAATTGGCGCGAGAATAGAAGCAAGGGTTGGAGGAAGGCATGCAACTCCGGTAAAGCGTCGTCAAGGAACCGGCGGTGTGTTAGACGAAGTGGTAAGTTCGTCGGTGCTTTTGGATCGCAGAGAGAGAGAAAGAGAGAAGCGGAGAAGTCGAAGAAATGACCCAAGAGTCAAGGTGGAGAATGTGAAGTCTTGTGCCTCTTGGGCCTGTTGATGGGCTTCGGGCTTAACCTGAGAAGATTAAACAAGATGGGCTTTAGTCTTGTGCAACTCCTATTTGCAATAGGAACTACATATGACGGTGGATTACAAGATCCTTCTACATATGGAGATAGCTTAGGTCAAGTAGTATATATAGAGCTCTCATGTCATGTGTTTAAACACAGAAAAATATAATCTCTCAAGAGAACACTGCTTGTAATTGTTTTACTCGATTCATAGTGAATTTAAGTTTGTCTCCGAGCAAGGAGGTGGACTTGCCAAATACGTTTTGCGTGTTTTAGTTTCGTGTCATAAAAGCAAGCCAAGTTTGATTCTCTACAAACAAAGTTAGAAAACCTGTTTTGAAACAAAAAAAAAATTATCCTTTAGAAGAGGTAAAGAAAGAATCATTTCGATTTTCTGAAATTATTTTTGGTGTGTTACCCTGAAAGCATAATCGAGCGTTTCTTCGCTGTTATTCTTGCACCTGCGTAGAAACTGTCGGCAAAAGAAACAAATAATATGAAGAAAGAAACTATGAACCCGATACCACTAACTATACTATACCTTCCTTGACAGTTCCTCTTTTCATAGAACCTTCAAACTATGACCCGTTACATCACCTTTTTACTCTATCTGTGACCCGTTCCATCACCTTTTTACTCTATCTATTAATCTTCTTAATTTTCTTCTATGTTCATCCATTTTATTTAATCTCAGTTATGCTGTCTTTTCCCAATCACACTCAAAAATATGACCACAAGGTCGATGGATTATGGTCCCATCAAGCCGTTTTGGGATGGACTGCTGAAACCTAGTGGACATTATCACGAGATTGATGGACTGGCCAGTTTTTGTTTCGTAGATTGATAATTTATGGAGTCTATAAGATAACAACGTGAACATGCATCATATTCCACGGAACGAGACAGGCGGACCAACTAGTGAAAGAAGCTAGAACCGGAGATTTTATTTTTCTCCTATATAGATCAGACAAGGTCGTAGAAGTATTCTTTGAAAGATTGTCTCATCTAACCAAAACTTGGTATAACAAATGGGTAGCTGATAAAAAAATAAAATTTTAGATCAATTACTTTAGAAAAATAGAAAGTGAGGGGTAGGAATCTTTTAGAAGGGGAAGAGATTTATGTTTTTTTGTTGTAATATAGTTTTTTAGATCAATAGATCGAGTTTTTGTTTCCACAGATCATATACTTCGCTAGGCGAATTTTTGTAGTGCTTTTTCCAATCTTAAATATGACTTGATCTTCAGAGTTCTATGTTCTTTTTTTTTATTTGGATTGAAATATAAATTTTTCGACTTCAGGTTCCATGGGTTTAATTAATAACATTATTAACACTTTTTACAATTTTTATAGGTATATTTTGAGTACATATTATTATATTTTATCTTAATATCTCTCAAATAAAATATTTTCTTGTTTTTTGAAAGTTTAAGATTTATATTTAATTACTGATAATATTGAGAAATAGAATGTAATATATTAAAAAAAATTAAGAAATGATTTAAGGACCAATTTGGAGAACCATCCATTTGTAATTCTGTATTATTAGTTTTCGGTTATACCCCACTTGTTGAAGGAAAAAAAACCCACTCTATATTTCACTCAATATCTCCTTTCAAAACCTTAATTACAGGGAAAGATAATTATTACTCATTTGTTCCATCTGTTTCAATATAAATGTCAATTTGACATATTTCACAGATATTAAAGAATGAGAAAATATAGTAGTATACCCTTCTTTAATGTAACAAATATTTAAAAAGAAAAATTAAAAATGTCTATTGTTTTGTTAAAAGGATAAGAAAAAGATTATAAGTGAAAAAATTGCACTGAAAATGTAAATTGATATTTATTTTGAAACAAGAAAAATATGGTATAAAAAGGAACGTTTTGTATGACATCTACTATAATTAAAAGGCCGATATCAAAGGATTTCAGTCTGTCCACGTTGACATAAATAATCAGCCAATAGGAGTTTTGATTTTTACCACGTCAGCTACCTGTCTTCATTATTTGGACTTTAATTTTCCCCGGCCCGGCAACGTTTTTGAATTGACCGTGACGCCCAGCTCCCCTTTCTCCTTTCCGCGAAGTATAAACCTTAATTTTACAAAAGACTTGCCGATTCATCTTCTCAACAGCTCCTTTAGATCTCTCCTCCATCACTCTTTTTCTTCATTATTATCCTCAACATATCTCTTAAAACATCTCACTCTTCTTCTTCCATTTCTCTACAATCACCAATTCTTTTCTCTCTATGCCGATCTGCTTCAGAAATAGACGTAGGTGTCGATGGAACCGTTCGCGTCGGTCGGCCGTGTAAACGCCAAACCTGGTCGCAGATTCGAATTGAGTCCAATTTCACTGTTTCGTCTCCGGTGACGCGTCAGAAAGCAGCTGCCGCGAAGCATTCATCGAGAATCATTACAAGAATTACTTGCAAGGCTTGCACGAACATATGGAAAGGTTCGTAAGCTTCAATTTCGGATCAGATTTAGTTTTTGGATAGGGTTGACTTTTGCTTGACTTGAGGATTTGATTTGTGTTATTATTGTTTGATTTGATTTTACAGACGCAGAGAGTTTCAGAGGAACAAGATGAGATAATGAGAAGTCTTGCTCGACGAGAGATTATGTATATGAGGGTTCAGAGACGTAAGATAGGGATTGAAGACTTTGAGCTTTTGACTGTTGTTGGAAATGGTGTCTTTGGTGAGGTATAACATAGATCAGTGTGATTTCTCTATAATTTGATCGTGATTTGAAATAGACAATTGAAAAAACAGTTGATAACACTCTAGGATTTTCTTAATCTTCAGGTTAGGTTATGCTGTTGATGTCAGATTTACTTCTCACGTTGTTGACTCTGCCCAATGGCAGAACCATCGATCTGCTTCAACCTCTGTCTCTCCTGGTACCATCTCTTCATTTTACGCATTTGTTTTAATGTTTAGTGATTACCCATTCTTAAATAAAGCAAAAGTTTAAGACTTTATGTGCAACGGGTTTTGAAGACATGACCTTTGTAATTTGGTGAGTTATTGAAAGACAATGTGTTCTGTAGGGATGACACTAAGCAAACTCAGTCACACATGGCGGAGCTTATGATGCTGAGATCAAGCTTTTCCTCTGAAGCAAAACCTGTCGAAGATCCTACAAGTTTTTGCTGATTGTAAAAGCTTTTGTTTTTGGAATGGATTTTGAAGCTCACAAAAGTCTTTCTACATACAGAGGCTGTCAAGGAGCTACATGGTAAGATACTCGAGTCTGTGAATTTTCAAGAGATCCATGCCTCCAAATGCTTTGTTGTGGTCACTGATTGAGAATTGTAAGAAGGAGGATGATTGTAGAGACATTAACAACAAAAATAATTCTTCCTATACTCTTGGAGAATGGAATGATGAAACATGTGTCTTGATCTTCTTTTATGTTACTGCTTTGAGTAAAATTGGTTTTGTTGGTTGTGAACAGAAAATCACTGCAGTTCCAAAGCTAAAAAAGGAAAGAGCTTTTGGTTTCTTGGACACATTTGGATTGGAAACTACTTTGTCTCACCGTCATGATTTGATGGAGGTTAAGGTTAGTGAAGTTGATAGTGCTGCTTCTGCAAATATCTACAACATCCAAATAAGATCAGATGGTGAGTTCTTTGCTTATTGGCCTAACTTTAACACCTGAATTATATATTCTGAGTGTAACTTATTTCATGTTTTGATATCTAACTATGATCTAACTGGTGCTACCTCAGAATCAGAGACCAAACTCAGAAAATGGATGGGACCAACAATTAAAATGTCGCTCATCAAGAATGTCAAATAATGGCAGTGGCAACATAAAATACAACTCAAACCTCCTCAAGTACTCTTGCCACATCCACTGCAGGTGAATGCCTCTGCTTCTACTTCTACTTATGTCAAACTATAGTGGACAACGTTTATTACAAGGAATCTATATTGAAATCTTGCAGGGTGAGGCCTGTGAGCCCTGCGGTAGTAAAAAATTCTTTGGAAGATGAGGCAGATAGGAATCACACATCACAAGAGTTGCTTGAAAATGAAAGGCGGTTAAGCGTAGCTGTGATGCTATCAAAACCAATAATAGCTCTTCAGTTTAAAGATTTAACAATGCAAGTAGAAGCTCCTGTTGTAGTTCACCCTTCAATATAAGACACAACACTCCAATTTCAAGAACTTACACTTCCTTCCTACCAAGGTTTCACTATCTTTTACAAAAGAAAAAAAAATCTTTCCACTTTCTTTTTTCAACTGATTGAATAAGCCATTCTTAGTGATAAACCTTTTGCCAAAATCTGTTATTATTTCCTTACATAAGCAGTAGTCTAACAGGTTTGTTTCTATCATGAATATATTCAAATTCAATTTAAAGACATCAACCAAGCCATCAAAATAAACTTAGACCTCTGTCTTTGGTTGTATGGCCAACCCTTTGGTTCAATTTGGTACAAAAAAATTTCATGAATATATTATTTAGTAAAACAAAACGACTCCATTTCTCTGATGTTTCCAAAAAGGTTTATAAGCAAGGAGCAAAGAGATGATGTAATCGGTGGTTGTTCCACGGTTTCATGAATCCATACTACCACAATTATGTAAACATCTCCTAACGCATTTTATGATATGTCAAATGATCATTTCTCCACATTGTCCACTACCTGTAACAAACACAACCATTAGCTTAAAACCAGACAAACTCTAAGGGAAGAGAGGTTATATAGCGATTAAGTGTTTATACCTTACAAGCTGGCTTGGGGTAGAGGATATTGTAATGGCTTGGACGATACATCAAGGTTATAAAAGGAGCAGGAGCTTCTTCTTTCTCATTGGTGTCCACAGGAACAAAATCATTGGATCATAGTGACACCTCCACTATCACATGAGCTACGGTCAAGGTACATAATCTATTTAAATAAATTATTTTTATTATATTTTATATTATTTTGAAGTTTTCATTTTATTTCCATCTCATTTTAGCTTCAAAAAATGATAAAAATATTATAAAATAGTTTGATAGTTATACATATATATATAGATACTTAATTTAAAATTAAATTAAATTTACAATCCAGATGAATGCGTGACCATTGATCTAATTGCAATGTCAAGTTAATATTCGGTTTGGTATTAAGAACATTGATGGCAATGATAAATTAATATCATCCAGTTTATAAATAAATAGAATAAATAAACATTATTCATAACAACAAAATATATACAATCTTAAATTTATATAATATCATTTTAAATTTAAATAAAAGTCAATTCATTTTATTTACTTAATTTTAAGATTCTGATAGTGGTTATTGTCTATTTTAAAGATAGAAAATATAAAACTAGAGATTAGAACATTTTAGTAATTATTATGTAAGTTATCTATAATAAAAATAAAATGAGGATTCTGCTAAAAAAAATAGGAAATCTATATTTTGTGAAAAACACAATTGTTCCTTATTATTATTACTTAGGAAACTCTTACTTGAATTAACTACAATGATTTTGTCAATTGTTATTTTTTTTCTATTTAATTTAATATTTTATTTGTTCTGTTTTAATTATAAATTTAATTATATAAACAATATAGTTATAAATTTTGTTTAAAAGTCTAGCCGCGCGTAGCGCGGCCAAAAGATCTAGTTTATTTAGAAACAGTGATAGTAAGATATAAGGAACGTATTATATGATTTTAAATTTATTTATTTGTAGCCATTTATGAAATGGCAGTTTTATTTATATAATACTGGATTCTCTATAAAAAGGGCTGTTGAGTGTGTTTTTAAAAAAAAAAAAAAAAAAAGGGCTGTTGTGATTGGAGTTGGTGTGCCTAATAATGCTTCAATAAGTGTGGACTTTTTTTCTTCGTTCTCCAATTTCACTTTCGATTGATTCAACCATTTGATCATGAGTTCCATCTTGTCAAACGTCCTTCCTGCTCCGGAAGATCCTGTTCTCAGTGTACATACATGATACATTTCACTTTAAGAATCTACATCCATCTTACCTTTTCTGTTGCTTGGATCCATTCTTCCATTTTAGGAAAGAGCAGATCATTTCCTATTGCACGTTTTTAATCATATTGTATGGTCACAAACAGGTTGTTTTTGCTTGTAGAGATGATCCTTGTCCGGTTAAGTTAGATTTGAGTGCCGGTGCCTATCGAACCGAGGTACCTGTAGTTCTTTTTCTGTCTAAGTCTTATGGATCTTCAGTCTCTATGATAAAGTTATTGTATTAGTCCTCACTTGGGTAATTATGTTTTTTTAAATGTCTAAAGGAGGGAAAACCTCTTGTTCTTGAGGTGGTGAAAAGAGCAGAGCAACAGTTAGCGAATGACATGTAAGTTAGATACTCATCAATTAGTAATATAGAAAAATTTCGATTGTTCCAGGAAAAAAAAATTGTCACTTTCTTCATATATTTAATTGACAGTCTTTCACAGAGTATTTTTTGTGTGTTTTCTTTTAGATTTACAAATAACATTTCATTCAAAATGTTATGATTGTGGGCTCATATGTAAACACAAATGTAAACAAACAATCAAAGCCATAATAAAACTGCTTTGGTTGTGATTTTGTTTTCGTTTTTTTTTGTTTTGCAAAGGTCTTCTGACAAGGGATATCTCCCAATCGATGGACTTGCTGATTTTAACAAATTGAGCGCCAAGCTAATCTTAGGTGAAGATAGGTAATATATTAGATATATAATATTATTTTCCCTCATTTATTTAAATGGCTAATCTGAGGTTTGGTTGGCTTTTTAACTTCTCTAAATTCCTTTGTTTTTTTTTTTTCATTTTACTATAAAGATTGTTTTGGTTTCTGGGCAGTCATGCAGTGGAAGAGAATAGAGCTGTTACAATCCAATGTTTGTCTGGTACTGGTTCTCTGAGAGTGGGGGCTGAGTTTCTAGCAAAACACCACCCACAAGTAAATATTCCTCACTAGTTCATTTAGTTTTGTTAATAGCCATTAAATTTTGGTAAAAGAACATTTCAGAAAATTTGCGACAACATTTAGTCAAATAAAAACTTGTTAAACTGTAACATTTTTATTAGGAATTCTTGTAATATTGTTGTAATATAGAGTACATTTTTCTTTTGCATTTCTTCAAGTTAAGCATATATATGTTTTACAAAAAGGTTACATTCTTATAAAAAGGAAAGAAGGTTTTTTAAAAAAGTTCTTACTGACCTGCAGCTTTTAAATCTACCGTTTTCATTAGTCCATAACTGCGCTTCTCTCATTGCTTTCAGAGTGTCATATACGTCCCAAACCCAACTTGGGGGAACCATCCCTCTATCTTCACATTGGCAGGTTTGTCTGTAGAGTATTTCCGTTACTATGATCCGCAAACCCGAGGACTCGACTTCGAAGGTTGAATTTGCTTACATGCCTTATTTAAAATGAAGTCTTTACTTAAAATTATTATTGGTAGAACAATAATCAGTATGTATCTTGGTATAAAAAAAAAAAAAAAAGGCATGCTCGAGGATCTTGGTGCTGCACCATCTGGAGCTATAGTGGTATTGCAAGCTTGTGCACATAACCCCACAGGAATTGACCCAACACTGGAACAATGGGAACATATTCGACAAATTGTGAGATCTAAAGGCTTATTACCCTTCTTTGATAATGCATATCAGGTAAGACATACAAATTACCTTTGCTTCATTGCTTTGTTCTACAAACAAATGAAAAACTCTGTTCTAGTTGTTATTTTTGCTAAGCATTAGCACGATTCTTAGTTCATAAAACTAACACATGCAGACATGCTCACACACATATGACATGTTCATACAAAAATGTTTGATATTATCCGGTAACACTGGAGAACTAGTTTCAATAATGAAAGCAACATGACTCTTCTTTTTATCTTAATTTTCAGGGTTTTGCTAGTGGTAGCCTTGACTCAGATGCACAATCGGTTCGTATGTTTGTTGCTGATGGAGGTGAATGTTTGATAGCTCAAAGTTTTGCCAAAAACATGGGTCTTTATGGTGAGCGTATTGGTGCTCTTACCATTGTAAGCAGCAAAATTTCTCACTTTCACATGCAAACGTAAATCTAGGCTATTATTTACATTATTTCAAAAACTGTATATATTATCTTTGTGTGTCTATTGTGAAGGTATGCACCTCACAAGATGTGGCTAGGAAAGTTCAAAGCCAAGTGTTACTTGTTATTAGACCTATGTATCTAACCCCGCCAATTCATGGTGCATCCGTTGTTGCCACAATTCTTAAAAACAGGTAGTTGGTATGCCTAAATATATATATACAGGAATTATAAGAAGTCATTTTTGAAATGCTTATTGAATAATGAAAATTATGCTAAAAATTTCGTGCTCACAGCGAGATGTACAAGGACTGGACCATCGAGCTGAAAGGCATGGCTGACCGTATCATAAGCATGCGCCATCAGTTATATGAAGCTATACAAGCTAGAGGTTTGGTTTAATGTTTTTTTATTTTCTCAAAACTTTCATAAACTGAATGCTCTGATTTGTATCTTTTTGTACCTGCAGACACACCTGGTGATTGGAGTCACATTATCAAACAGATTGGGATGTTTTCTTTTACAGGACTGAATGAGAAGCAGGTTCGCTGGATGGCCAAAGAGTATCACATTTACATGACTTATGATGGGTAAGTGAAATATTTCTTCTCCAGATGATTATATTGTACAAAGAGCATTATTAGGCTCAAGGGGGAAAAAATCATAAAAATCACATTTTTTAATTTAGATAAAAACAGTTTTCCAAGTAGAAAGGCAAACTAACATTTTGTTTTTGGGTCTGTTGTATTGATTACAAAAAAAAAGACATAATAGGCTTAACAGCAAACAAAAACAAACAATTGAGACCATATTATACTTATTACAACACAAGTCTCATATAAACTACATGAGCTAAGATAGTTTCTTAGACAAATAGATAAGTGATTATTAACATTTAACTTCCTCCTCAGCAACTTAGAAGAAAATGTTTTGCTCATTTGTTTGATACTTTCAACAATGGAATCTTATTTACAGACATTATTAAGTGCCTAAAAAATGGGTATTATGTTAAATTTAGTTGTCTATTTAAAGCTTATCATTTATAATGAGGATTGTGTTTTGCAGGAGGATAAGCATTGCAAGTCTAAGTTCAAAGAC